TGTGAGCTGCCATGTGGGTGCTGGGAACTGAACACAGGTCCTCTGAAAGAGCAGCCAGTGTTCTCAATCACTGAGCCATCTCTCCAGCCTTAAAAACACAAGTATTTATGGCCATGTATTCACAAAAACCCAAAGGTAGAAACAATATAACATCTATCAACTGGTGAACAGATAAACAATATATAATAGAATGCTATTCAGCCATAAAAAGGAATGAAGTAATGGTATTTGCCACAATATGTATGAAACATAACCCTAAGTAAAAGAAGTCAGTCACGAATGACCATATGGCACACAGTTCTACGTATACAGAAATGTCCATTTTAGGCAATCTATAGAGACAAGGTAGATTGTTAGTTGCCTGGGACTAGGCTAGCAAACGGAGAATAATTGATAATGCATATGAGGCTTCTCTATGATGTGATGAAAATGTTCTATAATGGATTGCGGTGATGGCTGTATAACCTTTGTGAATAAGAATAATCACTAAGATATATATTTTACATGGTGAACTTTACCATATGTGAATTAAATTCAATAAATGGTTATATTTAAAAGTATAGGCAAAAAAAAATCTAAGTGGCTGCTAGGTGAAGTGGCACATGGCCAGTAATCTCAGCAAGAGGCAAGAGGCTTGGGAGTTCAAGGCCAGTCTGAGTTCTAGCTCAAAAACAAAAGTGCCTGTAGGAAGCTGGGCATATTACCTGGCATTCAGGAACTAGTCAACAAGTGATAAGTTTGTATGGTGTTCTTTCTTTTTCTGATGCCATCCTGCCTGCTGGAACCATTTCTAGCACTGATGCTGGAAAATGGCAGAAGCTCATTTCATATTCAGTGGAGGGTCACAGGTATGCCACTTCAGTACTGTGGGAAGAAAATAATGGCTTCTATTTATTGAACTCTATGTGTGAGAGAACAGGCCAGGCACTTGACCAACTAGTTTCTTCACAAGAATGCACTAGGCTGCCATTTAATAAATGAAGAAACTAGTCTCAGTTCATGCCGATGGTTTAAAGGGGCACCATCAGGCAATGATTATCTCTACAGCTCAGACACTTGACTTTTTGTGTGTGTGACTATGACTTGCTTCTGGCCTCTTATTCTGAGGTCATAACCTCCCTTCCTCTATGCATTCTAGTAATGTCTAGTTCACACCAAATTGGTTGGCATGTTCTCCTGCATGGGCTTGTGTATTCTTACCCAGTTTCATGCATACATTCTTGAAGGAGGCAAGTGCTCAATAAATAGTTCTTTAGTGAGATGTTAAGCTTGTCTTCCTAAGCAGAACTAGATTCTTGAAGTATGGATATTGTTATCAGCTTTATCCTTTGCAGAATGTATGAGCCCATGGTGGCAGAGGCTGGCTTCAGGTCCAGCCTCCACTTGAAAATGCCTGGCATAGGTAACATGCTCTTTGTTCATGGACTCCTTAGGAACAGGCTCCTTCTTGGCCCCTCACCACCCCTCCCAAGTGTAACAGGAGAACTAGCACAGACAGGCTCAGTAAAGGTGTGACAGCAGACTAAAGGGAAGACTGGGCCAGCAGCCTTCTGACAGGAAGCACAGCTCATCTCTTCTCATCCATGAAAGGAAAAGGAGAGCAGGGAGGCTGGCAAGGAACTTAAGACTGCTTATTGACTCAGCCTGGAGTCCTCCTTAGGCCAGGACTCCTTTATCAGAGAACCAGGTGAGGCTTTTCAGACCCATGTCACATCTTCCCATCATCAAATGTAAGAAGGGGTGAATTCCTGTGAGTCTGTTACAGATATGTATCAAAACCCAAACCCTGCTTCTCACCTTGCCTGACTCCTAGAGTAGAAGGTGCTTGGTGGTCTCTGGACCCCTTTGCTTTGCTCTATAATTACCCTACATACACCCTCTCCTATCCTAACCAAGGCACATCCTTTTAGCTACAGGGATCTTCAGGGACAAGCTGGCAGCAAAAGCAAGAAGCCTGCTTCTTAGCAGCTATGCAACCTGGCTGGCCCAACTTGGTCCCTCAGTGATCCCCGTCTCTGCACCTGCTTGCCTCTCCTCTGCCTTTTCTTCAAGATGTTAAAAACTTGCAATAAAAAACAAATACAAAACGCTGTAATTAATAGCCAATTCCAAGCCAACCAAGCATCTCTACTAATAAACCTCAACACTTGCAAAAAGAACAATAAATTCTGCCCCTCTCTGGTTCCGAGGTGGTCTCTTTTATATACTCTGTGTTGTGTGTATGCATGTGGGTAAGCGTGTCTACATATATATTTATTTTCCTTTATTTCCCATCCAGGGAGGGGCAGAATAATGAACTGCGTGCGTCAGAGAAGATGAATCTGAGATACTAGGGAGCAGTGCAGTAAAAAGATTAAAGTGTTATTATTGTTGGTTTTTTTTCCCCCATGGTCCATTGTGACAGCTCGACCGTCATCTGTAAAAAATGTCTCAGCGAGAGATAATCATCGGAAACTCAATAAAGCGTCAGGGGGAGCCTCAGCCCCCATCAATCACTGGGTGCCTGGAAAATTTCAGCCCTCTGTCTCCCTTCCTGCTATCCATATAAATGTCTCTAATATATTTTGTGTGGTGTGTGGGACCCAACCCTGATTTGGAACTTTTGATGAAAAAATATTTATACACAAAATATGTAAATCAGTTAAAAATCACAAGACTAGCTCTTTGCCACCCCATCATACTTTTTTCTTATTTTTATAAATGCACTGAATTTATTCTTTTTAATAAAACATGTCAACTACTCTCTCTCTTTCCTAAGAGAGAAAAACATATTATCTATGTAGGTTTGGAGGGTGAAAAGTATAGAAACAATTAACCTAACTGGCTAATATATTTCATCTTGAAGTTGGCCAAAATGCCCGACGGAGTGACAGACCTCTGTCACCCTGCTGACTCTGTGGCAGTGCTGAGAAATGGCATACAGAACTACTAGTCCTGGAGGGGCAATGAGACTCTTGAGTGGACCTGGACAAGGATGAAGAAGAGTCAGGGCATTAATAAAAACAACTTGCCTAAGAGATTTTAGTGGGCTGGTTTCCCAAGCCTCTAGAGAAGCCAGAGGTCTTGGCACACTCAGTGAGAGGCACGTGCAGTCTGGTATGGTCTCTGAGCTCAATACAAGGGAAGGAAACACCTTTGTTGGCATCACTGTGTATGTCCGCATGTTGGCACACATATTTAGCCTCAGAGGCCAGAAGAACAAGGCTAGAGTTGCAGACAGTTATCCACTTGATGTGAGTGGTGGGAACCAAATTCTAGTTCTCTGAAGGAGCTGCAAGAGATCTTAATTGCTGGGGATTCTCTTCAGTCCTTGGACATCACTGTTTTTGCTTTAGTCTCCTTTAGTGAGCACATGATGTTGAACACAAGACCAATAAATGTTACCTGCTGCTGCCTGAACTACTGACATGGTGTGGCTTCATTCTCCCCATCTCTACCCCTGAAGCAGTCAGTCCCTACAGCCCCTCTCCTTTAGACTTTGGATGAGCCTCTCGTTTGATAATAAAATCCTGGTTTCTTGATCTGGCCCCGTCTACTAATGCTATGTTGCTATTGCTCACTGCTCCCTGAAAGGGGATCATCTGCTGCACGGACGGTGTGCCCGAACACGTTCATTCTCCAGCCAGAAACAGGGCTTCTCTACTTCACACCTTTGAGAGTTCTGGACATGGCACATCCCTGCTGCCCTCACACCTATCCGTACTCACTTCTCTGTCATCTGGCAGCTGCCTCAAATCTTCCTAGACTTTGAGAATCAAGGCTGATTTTATTTCCTTGACTGCTTCAGCCCAACATTCTTTGCTCTGAGTTCTGCTGTGATCTCTACTTGTGACTGAACCCTGGGAAATGTGGTCTTGATTGTATCAATCTTTATTATTATCAGCTGCTGTTCTTAGCACATTATACTTGCATGGTATTTTTTTTGCTTTCATAAGTATGTCAACTGATTTCTGTCCCCCCCACCCCCCCGGGGTTGGGAGCACAGGGTCTGACAATGTAGCTCAGGCTGGCCTTAAACTTTCATTCTTTCTGCCTCAGCCTCCTGCGTGCTGGGATTATTATAGGCATCCAACCAGCAATCAAATGATTATTATAACAAACAGGTGATGGGAGAACTATTCTCTGTAGAGGAGAAAACCAGCACAGAAAACAGGATGAACTGCCCAGGGTCACATCATTAAATAGGGTTTCTCTGTATTGTTTTGGGGGCTGTCCTGGAACTCACTCTGTAGGCCAGGCTGGACTCGAACTCACAGAGATTCGCCTGGCTCTGCCTCCCGAGTGCTGGGATTAAAGGTGTGGGCCACCTACCCCCGGCTGACAATCTATTTCTTAGACTCAAATTAATATTTGGCTCTTTAAAGACAATGGGTCAAAGACCCTATAGCTTCCTATGGACACAATGCGACTAACAATCTTGATGAGGCACAAGCAGAGGTTTTCATTAGTGGAATTCCTCCTCCATTCCAGGCTTAGGAAAGGGATAAATATATTACTTCTAGCTCTCATATTCACTTTTATTTTACAAATTGGGAAGGAGAGCTTCTGAGAAGTCTATGGAACTGCTCCAGGTATCACAACTACTAAGTGGTCTACAAACCCACCATGGCATAAGCACATCTATGAATGAAGACAAGAGTGGTAATCTAAAGTCTCTTCTCTAGGGACAACAAAGCCAAGATGTGTTCTTAAGGCAATCTAAGCATTAGACTACAAGTAACACCCATAATCTAGGTTAGGCGATTCATGGGCAGGGGAGGGAGACTGGAACATATGCAGAGTCAAGTCTCTGGGGGTAAGACCAAGTTCTCCCCTGGGAGCCGCTGTATTCCCATTAGTCTGGATTCTCTGGGGTAGTGTTTCTCTGTTATGCCAGAGTAGGCTTGGGCACATGGTGCTTAACTTATACACTGGGTGCTTACGGAATGAATGTTGGTGAGACCACACCTAGCATGGTCTGGGAATGAGAACTATTACAGTATAGAGAGCAGTTCCATTACCGCCAGTGGGGACTCCTAGCCATCTCTTGAACTCCAGGACACTTGTCCACTGGTTTGTGATGCGCCAGCTTGCACAGTCTTGTCCCCCATCTGAAGGCAAGAGATGGGGAGGTCAGCTGGAGCAGGCCAGGACCTGTCACCCCCATGGGAAGGCGTTCTTGGGTGGGAGAGCTTGGCTCTGAGAGGGCCAGTCTGACAAGCCTTTACCCTAGAAGAGCCCTATGCCAACCCAGCTCTTCAGGACTCATCTTTATTCAGCTGTCACTTGGAGCTCAGAAGAGAACCTGACTTATAGCCTGTTCTGGCCACGTTTCTACCATGTTTTATTGTTTTAATTGTACATATGAGAGGCACTTGGAGTGCTTGCTTGCATTTCTGACAGCACCAGACACTGGATGTTTATAACCATTACTTATAAGCAGCCCGCGGCATCCACGGCTGGGAGACTTGTTTACTGTTACCACCAATTTAATGTCACCTCCACCTGAGGATCAGAGCCCCACTGCCCAGCCACAAGTGGAAGTCTCCGAGAGTAAGCAGGTAGGCTGAAGCTCTGAAGGGAATGTGGCCAAGACAGGGAACAGCTGGCAGGGAACAGCTATAAACCCACCTGCCTGTCATATCTGCCCCATCTGTGTCCCTTTCTTAGAATGTATTTCCTTCCCGCTTCCTCTTAACCCTGAAGCAGCTCAAATCCTCCTTCTTCTGAGCTTATTACTTGCTCTATGTGTAGCTGAGCATTCAGAATCATAGAAATCATACAGTTACTGAGACCGTTGATCTCCTAAGAAAGCCTTGGTGGGCAGACATCCAGCCTGTTTGTGCTCCTTAGTATATTGCTCACTACTTCCTAATCAGCTGACCTGACTTATACTGAGCCCAAACCTACCTTCATAGAGGGAATTCACTGCCACTGACTTTTACATAATAAGGTTATTGTTTGGGTACTGTTATCCCTGTATCATAGAAAAGTCTGAAGTCAAGGACTTTATGTCACTTGCCAAGATTACACAGTCAGTGACAGGGCTTGGGTGAACCATGGTTTCCTGGCAGTATCCCCTGAGCTTTTTTCTGGACATTATTATGACTCTGAAGACACCACTCTGAGGCCTGCAGAGAATAGCAACAATAGCCAGGCCAAGGATATTTCCACACCAAACACTCCTGGTCAGCTGTGCTAGCAAGCCCAACATCTTCCCAAAACACCAACCTTGATATGAGGACATGAGTCTGCAATGTACCTGGCTAAGCAGGCTTCCTCAAGGAGCCATGCTGGCATATAAGGCAGGGGAGAGGCTACAGGGCCTCAGTGAAGACAGCAAAGACCATTCGCCCCTCCTCAGGCAGTGTGTGTTTTGGGCAAGCAGTGTAGACACAAAGTGTCCCCTGTCTTTTGGTTTCCTTGCTGGATGGTTCTTCTCAGCCAACCTGACAATCTCCAACTCACCCTTAAGACTCAATTCAGAGTCACTCACCCAATGACATGTCCAAGACACAGTCGGATCTTAGAAGAAAGTCATCAGTTTCTCATTCTGTGCAGCTTACATTCTTCATAAAACTAGCTACCTTTGCCTTTACTAGTCCACAGTGTAACTCCTTGCTGAGGTCCATCTTACTTGGCTAAGAGCACTGCCGAGGGGCCAGACCATGTATATCCATTTAGATATTCCCAGCATCTGGCAGAGGGCCCAACATGCAGTAAAAGCAAGCTAAATTATAAATAAATGGAATTAATAAGCAATTATAACTGAAGAGAACTTTGCAATTCACACATCACATTATTTTATATCTTGATCAACACAGCGATACTGACAGGCAGACAAAGGGCATACTACTGGGGTTAGGGAAACTGAACCAAGGTTACAAATTATAATCCACCATCTTCCCTCAGTACCAAGGATAGGTTGAGACCAACAGAAATAACAATTATAAAATATAGTGAACTTTGGTCCTGACTCTGCTCTGACAGCAAGGACCGTCTAGCTGCCTTAAGTCTGTGGCTTTTCTGTGATACTGAGACTCATTCTTTTAAGTTCTTTCTTGCACATCTTCTCTCTCTCCTCCCTCCCTCCCTCCCCAGCGCGCGCGCCAAGTCAATGAAAAGAAAAATGAATCGCAGGGATCTTACACTTGTATCTCACCAATGAAGATGACCCAGAGCTGGGCAGTGCCTGGCTCACAGCAGGCAGGCAAATGACAACTAACAGAAGGATGAAAAGACAAGGAGCCTTTGAATAGAGAAAGGTGTGAAAACATGGTGAAGAAGATAATAAAGGATTCTGGGGTATCCAACCTTTTGATACTAGAATCTGGCATGTGGTCTAAAACATGTTGGGCCACCCTCATAATTAGCCTGGCAGCTGGAGAAGAGCCCTGAGATGACATACACGAACTGTCATCATTCTAGTCTTAGCCAGAAAACAGAGAACACAGCACATCTAAACAGACATACCTTGGAGAATAAACTGTGACAAAGGCAGTCAATGAAGGAGAGGGGATCTTATAAGCTAACAGTGCTGAGTTTATTAAAGATTCCTGACAAAATTCTAGAATTTAAAACAAAACAAAAACCCAAGAAACAGTGCTGAGGACTGAACTCACACCTTCATGCCTACTAGCAAGTTCCCTACAACTAAGCAGTATCTCCAGCCATAGGATGTATTTGTTTGTTAGTTTGTTTGACACAGGGTTTCTCTGTGTAGCCCTGGCTGTCCTGGAGTTCACTATGTAGACCAGGTGGGCCTCAAACTAAAAAAATCCAACTGCTTCTGTTCCCCAAGTGCTGGGACTAAAGATGTGTACCACCATGCCTGGCCCTGGGATGATTACTGAGCACCTAGAGGTTCCCTGAAAACAGTCCTTAATGTATAGGAGTAAGCAAAGGTCATTAGGATAAGGAAGGAAAATGGATGTAGGACACATTTTTTATTTTAACCACAAATGGTAGGAAAAAATTTCTCAATTTGTAGACAAAATAAAGAAATAGAGGATGGAAAAAGAAGAGACTTATTGATGACAGTTGTGGGCATTGGCAATCCATTGAAACTGCCTTGCCACACGCTGGAGGACTCAATCATCAATGGCCTCAGGATCATGATGGTAGGGAGTATGTCTGCCTAGAAAAGTGCTAGCACACAGAAGTTTTGAATAAATACTGAATCAACAAAAGCCTACTGTAACTGCAGGTTATACAAAATGAGCAGCCTTTCCTAATAGTCTGTCTACTCACCTATCTGTCTACCTGCAATGAAGGTTGGTTGGCATTACAGTTAAAAGAACTCAGGGAGACTGGTCAAAGGGATAAATGAACAAAGTCTGTTTGTGCACCATCATGGTTGCTTCAATACTGAAGAGTCAGTTTGCGTAGTCACACCAAAGACCAAGTGGTCCATAAAGTTGAAATTTACACAATTTGGTCATTAACCAGGAAAACAAAACAACTGTTGACCACTAGTGTATTGATCTAGAATGAATTTGAACATAACCTACATAGAAACATTAGAACACAAAGTCACCAGGCTGAGAGCAAAAGCTGGACTGTGATTCTGCGAAATCTGCTAAAATTCTCAGAGCATTCAAAGAATCCCCACTCCCTCTTGGCCCCACCATCTGACAAAGTCTGCTTTCTGGTGAGAGCACCCAAACAGCTGGTACACTCAAGGAGAAAGCTGTGTTTAAGTGACAAGAGATAGTCCATCAGCTGAGTCCATTTTAAGCAGCAAATATATGGCAAGTTAGGTACTCCTGAACTTCTCTTCTGTTTGAAGTATAAAGGGAACACTCTTTCAGCTCAGGAGAACTCACAGAGGCACAGGTCATGGCCTACAGAAGGAACTGTCAGCTGGGAAGGAGAGAAAAGACATATGGGCAGGCACAAGTTTAAATAACCACAGAAGAGGCCAAGACTGAAGGAGCATTCAGGAGAGCATCTGAGGGCAGGGTAACTTCACACTCCACATGGACACAGTGCCCTGATGCTCTTGGAGACACTCCCCTCATGCCACTGATCTAAGAAGCTTTCTCCTGGGGCAGCAACAAAACCTCTGCACTGGGCCGCCATCAGGCTCACTTCCCTCATTCAGAGGGCTGTGTGTAGAGTCTATGCCGAATCTCCTCCAGGATTCAAGTGCTGACTTTTAAGGCAATCAACAAAAAACTAGTACCGACTATAGCAGCCACTGCTAAGTTGTCCTGTCACCAAATCTCAGAGGACTAGCAGTCTGTCTGGGTGATGACTGACAATGGGCAGGAGGTAGGCACAGTTTACACAGACAAAAGCTCAGGTAGAAAACATACATTTGTCTGCGGCCAATGCAACCTACATTCTTCTCAAGTTCATTTCTGAAGAACTACTAACCAGAGGCAACACAGACTGATTTGACCAGGTTCTCTCCAACAGACAGGTGCCACAATACCTCTTCTGTAGTCCAATAATCACCCACATATCCACAAGGTATTAACAACAAGCCCATTTTTACAGCACACAGATCTGTTCCTTGCCCTAGGTCACAGCAAAGCAAAGGGCCAGTCCTAGAGATCAGACCACACACTGACAAAGCAATATTAACAGTTGTACTTTGAGATCTCTATGGCTAAGGGGACCAAGGCAGTAGGTTCTAGTATTGGGGCAGGTAGGAAGTGAAAGGGGCAAGCCCACATTTCACTGAAATCTGTTCACTGCTTGCTCCTCAGGTTCCCAGTCTCAGGAGACCAGGTGAAATTAGGCCATGAACTCAGGCTCCAATTGCTCTTTCCCCAACACCTTTAAAGAGGTGAAAGGAACTATGAAAGGCATCTCTTCTAAGTCCTTTGGGATACCCTTGAGTAGCTGCTGACACTGAGCAAAGCTTATGGAGGCCACAAATGGAGACACCCAGATCAGCGGGGTAGCCCAACCTTACCTTCCAGAGAATGGATTCCCTGTTCTTTAGCAGTCTTGTAGACACTGCTGAAGTCATCCCCAAGGTTTGGGTCAGCCCCAGCAGCAAGCAGGACCTGCACCACACTGGAAGCAATTAGAAAAGTAGATCACAGGTCTGTTTTTCACAGCTATAAGACAAACAATTCATTCAAAAATGACTTATTAAATGCCCACTACATTCTAGTCACTGGTCTATGGGCTAGACTCCACGTGACATGGAACTTACAGTCTCCTGGGAAGGAAACAAGCATACAATTACAGCAAAGAAAAGTAATATAAATAGACATGAATGTTGAAATTAGGGTAGGGGGTGAGGACAGGAATGACAGGGGGGGTGTGAAGGCTGAAAGAGTCAATACATATTTATACAAAATTGCCTAAGAACAATTTTAACTAATAAAGGCACCCAGGAGTAAACCTTCTGAAGGAGGGGAAACATTACACAGTAAAGTGTGACACGGGTTGGGACGGGAAGACAATGTGCACTAAGAAGGCAACAGGACAGCACACTACAAGAAAGCTCAGGGCTTTATGCGAAGGAGGTTTCAACGAGAGGAAGGACAGCGGGACACAGTAAGGAAAGCAACACGATCACATACGCTCTCTCCTACACATCCACACGGGCACGCGCCCACGCACGTATAAATTCTGACAATACTAAGTATCCCCTTAGGTCTACCTCCTTAATCCAAATTCGAAGAACAACCATTAAAGGAATTTGGCATTTTTTTTTTCAAACCTTTGCAATTAGAGATATCACTCCAGGAGCTGTAAGAACAGGAGTGTAAGAACAGGTCGGGAGGAGTATAACAGTTGGCAGAGATTACACAAGGGTATGGGGCACAGTGCTTGAACCAGTTACAGTGTATGCTAGCTCCCCTTCTTTCTTCTAGTATGTAATGATCCTTCTAATCCCCATCCCCCAAAAGGGTTTCATAAAGAGGAAACATGTCTCAGAATACAGAATATTTGACTTTTTTTTATTTAGGAAACACATATATAATTTACAGTAACTGGGTCATACATAAACTCTAAATGCACATACCCCCTTTTTATGGAGGTCAGAAATATAATTTGTCACAGTTGTAGAATAGTCTATCATAAGATTATTCTGTGTTTGTTTTGTTTTAGATTTTTGGGATGGGTCTCTGTCGTCCTGGCTGTCCTGGAACTTGCTATGTACACCAGGCTGGCCTCACCTCACAGGATCCTCCTGTTCTGCTTCTGTAGTGCTGGGATTAAAAGTATGCACCACAACCAGTTATCCCGTCTTCTATCCAATCTTTTACTGTAAAAGAGAATGTCTTTAATATTTTGATAATAAGCAAATTACTAGGAGATACACTTCTAGGAGAAGGCATAAGGAGCTCTTTCTTCTCCCCACTGAGACAAGGACTTGATATGTATGTAGCCTTGGCTATCCGTAAACTGTGACAATCCTCCTGCTTCAGCTTCTTGAGTGCGTCTATTAAAAGCATATGGCACCAAATACTCTAGGATAAGCATTTCAAAGGACTTTGAGAAGTACTATTAAGCTGCGTTTCAGAGGTGGGACTAATTTTATTTTCACTAGCTAAGTATGAGGCACGCAGTAACTCTGTGCCTTACCTCCCTGAAACATGTTTTTTTTTTTTTTCTTCTTTCTTTTTTAGAGCAGATTATGGAGCCAAACTGCTACCCTAACTTTCATTTCTCTGATTCCTAGTCAAGCTGAATTTCTAAAAAATTAGGTGTAATAGTCGTCTGTTCCCTGTTTCATGATTTCCTTATCAGTGTCCTTTGCCAGATCTTCTCTTTGTGAAAGGTAATTTTTTACCTTTTCTGGACTGACCTTCAAAACCATTAACACTTTAAAGGCATAAATGGCAGGTGTGTCAAACAAATCCCTGGGATTATCAGAACTATTAAAAAGCCAGACTTTAGCTTCAGCTTCCTTCTTTTGGTTTTTCAGTATTTGCAGTCAACAGTGCTGTTGGCTTTTCCATGTATCACCTGGTTTGGACATTGTTATTTTCAATAGGCACAACATCTGGCTAAGTAAAATCTGGGACAATCTGGGCATAATTACATGAGTGATGACAATAATGACTTATAACTTGTTATAATTACATAAATATTTTTTCTTTAGAGGAGGACTGTAGAGATGAGGCAGAGTTAGGAAATGGGACAGAGGGTTTTTTTTTAAATTATAGATTGAATGCACACATACTGGTGAGTGAGGACATTATCAGGTAAGTTGCGCTTTTTTTTTTTTAATTTGGTTTTTCGAGACAGAGTTTCTTAGTATTGTTTTGGAGGTGTCCTGGAACTCGCTCTGTAGACGAGGCTGGCCTCAAACTCACAGAGATCCGCCTGCCTCTGCCTCCCAAGTGCTGGGATTAAAAGCGTGCACCACCAATGCCTGGCTCCTGTGTCTTTTACATCATGTATCTTGATCTCATTCATTTCCCCATCCCTCTGCATCTATCCCAAATAAAACAAAATTTAAGAGAAAAAAGAAAACATTTTCAAAAGGTAGAAAATTTAAAAATCTTGTTATGGAAGCTATAGTGTGACATAGTAAGTCATACTATTAACCCCTTTGTCCATATATCTTTACTTGCAAGTGCTCATTGCAAAGGTCATTGGTCTGGTTTGAGCCTCTGGTTTCTACTACACTATCAATGCTGGGGTCTCACTGGGACTCTTGGATGTCCTGTTGTTTTCCTGTGTTGTGGAGATCCTGCAGTAGGTCTGCAGGTCAGGTTTCTTTACGTGCTCCAGCATATCATAGATGGGGTGGATGTTGGGGTGGGCCAAGTCATAACTCTGGTTCTGGGCCTGGGCAGCTGTACGGTTGCCCCTAGATGAGAAATGGGGACAGCTCTCCCATGCTTACAACTTTGGGGCTAGCTCACCCACACCTGACCTAACAGGGATGGCTCTTCTACTTTTATGACCACAGGGCCAGGTCTCCCACTGCCTCAGACATTGATGGGCTTGGGGGGAAAGGCACTCTTGTCAGTCTATGGTGCCAAAAGACAGATGAAGAGTGGGGACATCTCTCCCACACTCACAACTTTAGGGCTGGCTTACCCACATGTCTGCTAACAGGGTTGAGTCAAGGTCTTTTTGAAGCAAAGGCTAGCCTTTGACTTGCTACATAGCCAAGAATTGCTAGAATTGCTCTGTCTACTGCCCCTACCTTCTGAGTACTAAGATTACAAGTATGCAATCCTTGGCTGGGAAAACTAATAGTTGCAGAAACTTCCAAAATTAGGAAATTTCCATTTAAAATTTAAATTTATTTATTTATTTGTATTTGTGTGTACAGCTGTTTGTGCCACAGCACCACATGGAAGCCAGACAACAGTTCTCTACCATGTAGGACCTAAGGATGGAAGGAACACAAGTCACTGGGCTTACAAGCTAAAACCCTTAATCTGAGTAGACAGTATGGCACTTTCTAACATGCATGGAGACCTAGAGTCCAAACGCAGTTCTGTCATTTACAGATGGTGTCTTGGACAAGGCACTTGACCTGGAGCCTCCTTTTCAGAGATAGCAAGACTACGAGGGAAGTAAACAATGGTGCCTACAGGTACATGGGAGCTGCACAGACACGAGTCTGTTCTCGTGGTTGACACAATCATAACAATAACTTGAGTCTGGGCCTGAACTGATCATTCCCAGGATGTATGCTGGCACAGCCCTACACTAAGTAGGCAGTTCTTCTACAGTCTGCACAAGTTGACATGTTTTCAAGTTCAAATGAGAAGGGTTTGTCAATCTAAATTCAAAGGGACATAATTTGGTTAATCCTCAGCTGCTGTGTCCAATCACTATTCAATCACACCCCCTCTCATGGCAGACTGTCCCTCTAGGCAGCTAGTGTCACTAACTGTGCTACCTGGGCCTCTCCAGGTTCATGAGTATTGATTCCATCTGTCCAATTTGCAGGCTGCAGGACGTGTCCAAGCAACCGTGTATGCTGCCCTTGGCCCTGGAGGGCAGACAGTAGTCTGGCAGGATGGGGAAAGGAGAATGGCTGGGAATTGGCCCTGGGGCTGCTAACCCAATCAAAGAAATGGGCAATTCACTTCAAAAATTTGGAGACTAAAGAGGGAAAGCAATCCAAGATAGTGACTCATCTACAACCTTGAGATGATTCCCTTCACTTCTGATAAAACTCAAAAGGCAGCAGCCCCATTGAGGGAAGACAGGCCTGAAGGAAGCGACTGCTCCCTGCCAACCATTGCTCCAAACACCTTGCCAGATGGCTATGAGAATTTCTCTCCAGCAATGGTCACACCTTACAGAGCACCAGGGATGCTGGGAAGTGATTTCTGCTGCTTTTCTGCTACAGGGGAAGCAACTCCCTGGTCCAAGCAAGAGTGGGAGGAAAGGTGGGCACAGGGAGACAGTGGCTCAGTAAGTATGAACAGTAAGGACAAAGGCTGAGAGCCCAGTGGCAGCTAGGGTTCACCAAAGAGTAACCGGGACCTCTCCTCTGTTCTGGTACTGGCATACTAGCTGCCAGGTTGCAGACCTAAGCTCAGTTACCACTGTCTTGAATTTAAGTAGCTACTATCAAACATGAAATGGCCTACACTGGATCTTAATCACTTGCTAAAGGAGGCAGAGGACATCATTCAATTCAACTGAGTTTTCTCTAACCTTTCATCTCTATTCAAAGGAACTACTCAAACGGTCCTTACTGGCCTTGGGCTATCAGCATTTCTCTCAGGCAGCTCAGGATCTGGTCTCTGGTAGTCTATAGACAGATATACCTATCTCAGAGCTAGAGATCATCCCCTACTTCCCTTACTTATTTGAAGAAGCAGAGAATGCCTATAGTATGAGAGGTGTGCTACAGAGCCCTTACTTCCTCATACCGACTCTCAGCTATTAGTCTGAAATATATTTGAACTGACAAGCTATGAATGAGGAAGAGATAAAAAAAAAAAAAAAACCAGGGCAAGGATATGAAGTCACTTTTCAGAAGAAGACACCAGAGAAAAGATTAGGAAGCATACAATAGTTCTCAAGTTCATCTGTTATTAGAGAAATGCAAACCAAAGCAACAATGAGATACTTCTTTAAAC